TTGTAAAGGGTATAGATGCATGACTATTTGTAATTTTCTAAACTTTAGGGGTTTTTGTGTAATTACTGTAAAGTAATTATTTTTCGTCTTAGGGACCATTTTGCAATTTAATTTAGAAGATATTTTCAAAAAGGATTTTTTTGCAATTTTTAGAAAGTGTGACAAGTGTCACACTCTCATTGGTCCACTTGTTGACATGTGTGTGGAAACACTTTGAGGCCTTGGATGAGGACATGTGGAAGGTGGAGATTTAACCACTTGTTGGCCTAGGATTGGTGCACTTGTTGGCTTGGATGGTTGACAAGTGTAGGCTTGAGATTTAACCTAGGATGGAGGTTTGGATTTGTGACAAGTGTAGGCTCACAATTTGATCTTGCATTAGTATGTGTGTGAGAGGTAGTGTAAGAGCACATAGTGAGTGGAGGATCTCTATCCCCTCCACTCACATTTCATCTTCATCATTTTTCATTTCCTCCCTCTTTTGTAAAGAAAACCCTAGCCTCCATGGATGGAGCCTAAAGCCTTAAACTTTGACCTTGATTTTTGAGAGCCTTCCATTGATTTCCAAGCTTGAACTTGGGAATACATTTTGTTCCCCTCATCTTCCTCTTCATAACCCTAGAAGGGTTTGCCATTTTGTGTTGATTTTGCCTTGGATTCTAGAGAGACACTTCTCTAGTGAGGTAGGGAATGTTATAGGGTTATATGTTTATTGTCTTGCATGTTTTTGATGCTTATACAACTTGTATGCATGTGGTGTATTAATTTGAGAAATTATGATTAATGGTAGTTTGCTTATAACTTATTTTAGACTTGGTAAATGGCATGGCCATGAGTTGATCTTTAATATATATTAATTTGGGTTGATTTAGATGAGTTTTCAAATCTAGAGATTAAATGGATTTAATTTGGTTTAAATTATGGTAAATTGTGTTTTGCTTGTAATCTATCTTAGACTTGATATATGGTATGACCATGACTTAGTGCTTGATATAAATTAATTTGAGATCATTTGGACAACTTTTGAAATCTAGAAATTTAATTGATTTAAATTAATTAAATTATATTTGATGATATCTTGCTTATCTTGCACTTTTGATTTGATATATGTAAAGACCATGATATGTTGCTTAACATATATTAATTTGAGGTTATTTGAAATCTAGAGAATTTAATCACCTTGTTTAATTAAATTCTATCTAATGGCTCCATGGATCCATTGGTATTTTAGAAGTTGTTTCTATATTCAAATCATGGACTTGAACTTGTTATGTATTCACTTGATTGTGTTTTGAGTATTGGACAACTTTGTTGTTATATTTATATTCATGAGAACATGTTTTCTCTATAGAATATATTGATACCATGTGTAGTGAATTGCACACTTTGTAATTGACATTATGTATGTCATTTTAGAATTGAAACTCTAAGGCATGGATTGTGTGGTTTCAACCTACTTGTGCATGGAAGGTGTTTTCATGCATTATATAAGTTATGTATAAGTTGTGAACTTATTTGGTTTAATTTTGGAATCTTGGAACATTATTGAGTTGAGATGGCTAGGGTTTGGCTCTAGTACGGGGACATGAGTCCTCTAAGTCATTGAGATAGTGCTCACTTAGGGTGGTCTTCCCTGCGGGTTAGTGCCCGGAATAACCATTGAGGTCTCGGCAAAATTCCGAGCGTAAATGTCCAAGTCTTCCATTATTTGTTTTCGCATTCAATTCCAAGTTAACAATCATGTTTATATTGTAACTTGTGGTTTTAGTTATTGGCAATTTTGATGTTGTTAAGTACATCCATGTATATGATTTTAATGAATCATTTTGATATTGTTAAGTACATCCATACTAAATTGATATATTTAGTTGATTTCACATTTTTAGATTTCTAGTTGATAACCTAGAGAACCTATGTCTTGATGTGTAGTATTAGATATTCTAATTATGCTAAATTGTTATATTTAGTTGCTGTTGCATTTTAGACTTCAAGTTGATTACCTTGAGAATCTATATGTTGTTGCTTTGTGTAAGCATGCTCCTATGTTATTGCTTTGTGTAAGCATGACCCTATATTGCTAAAATTGCATGAATGAGGTGATTGATGCTAGAAATGATCCTAGGTAGCTAGGATGCTCCTTGGGTCTCACCTTTGACATAGACGTTAGGTGGAATGAACCACAATAATTAAATCATGCAAACTTGTAAAACGTAGGTCGATGCATGCTCATTTCCTACGAGTAGCTTTATGTTACTCACCCCTACGATACTGGGGCATATTTCAGGTACAAGAATCAAGGTTGCGATTCTCGTCATGCTTGGATGATTGGTGGACTTGAAGATTTTCATTTCTTGTAAAGGTTGGCTTGGAAAGCCATTTGCCTTATATGTCAAAATATGTATATTTGAATTTAAACATGTAGTGTGTACACGAGTACACTCTTTACAATATATTTGACATGTATGAAATGAGGCCGGAGGCCAATGACAGGTATTTGTATCCTATGTAATTTTGACTTTATGGTATATTATAAAAATGTTGAAAAATGTTAAGTTATTGTCTTACTATGTTTGCATCGGGTGTGGGAAATCCATTCTTACTCTTTCATAGGATTTCATTAATCATGTATGAAGTGTGGCTAAGGGCCAAATAGTAATTTCCAATCATTTGCTAATTTTGGTTTTCAAAATTTCCATTTCATTTTCATTTTCGCCTTTTTGGCCGTCGGGGGGTCGGATTTTGACTCGACCATTTTCGGGAGCCGTGGACTATTCCCGCGCACTCAAAATCATTTATTACGTTTGCGTGCATATTCGTTTCAGCCTAGAAGTGTATTTGGGGTCAAAAGTATGTTTGGTGCAAACTTACATTTTTTGCCGTTTTGAGCCTAAACTGAGCATAAGGGCATTTTGGGATTTTTACTTAAAAAATAAAGTTTTCTTTTGGCATGGTTGGTTAGGAAACATGATTTTGAGGGTAGTTTCTTCTTTGTGTTTTTCTCAAAAAAACCCAGAAAGTCCTCAAAATTGCATTTCAAGTCAGCATTTCAAGCGCAGCCTACAGGAGTTTGAGCGCTCTAAATAGGGAGTTCGAGCGCTTGAACTTTGGGCAGATCTCTTAGGGCAATTTTCGAGCGCTCGAAGCCCTTGTTCGAGTGCTCAAAGTACTGTTCACGGGTGTGTGTGTCTTGGTTTAGCACTGCACCTCCGACTTCAAATCATCATAACTTCTTCGTTTTAACTCCGAATTGGTCCGTTCTTGAGTCTAAATTGATCGCGTCGAAATAAGCTTTCCAATGGTACTAATTAGAGCTTCAGATTCTTCTTGTGGATCAAGTTATTCAAGTTTTAGTAAGGTAGTGTCTGTTTTTGGTTCGAACCGAGATAGGGTTTCCCTTCCTTCGACTTCAGAACTTGATATCTTTGCCGTCCGGACTCCGAATAAAGTGATTCTTGAGTCTATATTTATTAATTTTTCGTTGTCTTTCCAATGGTGTGCACGGTGGCACTCATTTTAGTATGGAATGACCATTTTGCCCCTAGGTTCATTCTTTTCCGTTTTTGAAACGTTGCTTCCGCATTTTCTTCCGTTGGGTTTCGTGACCTCGTCGAGGGTCACATTGGTGTCTTAGAGGAGTATTGTATCTCTAAAGACCATTGTTCTATCTTTTGCTTCCGCATTTTGGATCCATTTTGGGTCATCACAGGACGCACTGGGTTGAAAAATCCAGGGTCGTCACATGGCAACTCTTCTTCTCAGTCGAGAAAGTTAGAGTATGGGTCGTGGTTGGGGGTGGCTGGGTATCTGGGAAATGATCTCTGGAATTTGGATGGGGCTCGGGGAGGTTCAGTGAGAGCTGGTGTTGGGCGACGTTGGATGTATGTGGAAGGTGCTGATGCTGGTTGTGCTGGTCAGGCCGATGGGGGCTCTGCTCCAGGTATTTTGTCTGTTTCGGATACTGTGGCTACCTTTCATGGTGTGGCGGGCGTGATGTCTCCTGTACCTGAGGTCTCGTGCGTGCCGGGTGGTGCTAGGCTTGAGGACTGTTTTTTGGCTCCGGTTGGGGGATCTCCTACTGGTGTTGTCCTGAACGTGCATGAGAATGGTTCGGGTTCGCAGGGTGTTCAGGAGGTGCACGGTCTCCGACGCAAAGTTTTGTTGCTTCAGTGCAGGTGGACGAGCCTGTCTAGTGTGTGCCCTCGGTCTCCGCGGAGCAAGATCGTGTCTTGCCGCTTCCACAGCGTGGTCGAAAAGGTTCCCATCGGGCTGATTCTACTAATGGACATGTGTTGTCCCCTAATGCGCAAGATTCTTCTTTGGTGCGGTCTCCGCATAAGCGTCGACCATCGTTGGTTGGTACTCTATCAGGGTCCACTACGGTGGTGGGTAAGAAGGCCAGAATTTCGGTGGGGCATGTTTCGGTAGGTCTGTGTCCGGATTCGTTTTTCACCACCGGTTTGGCGCCTGAAGGCGGTGTAAGTGGCCATGCGGACCTTTCAGTGTTGGCTCATTTGGCGTCGTTGGATGGTCAGTTGGTGCTTTTGGATGACCCGGTGCTGCCTTCTTATTCCGTTGCCAGTTTGTGTTGTGTTTTGTGCTGGGTTTTGTTGGTTGATGTTTTGTTGGGTCGTTTGCTTGGTTTGTTTTGGGCTGTTTTGTAAGTGCTGTTTGACTTGTGTTTACCACTGATAAAAAAAAAAAAAATAAATAAAAAAAATAAAAAATAAAATGTATCTCTCATTTAAATTTAATAGTAGTAACAATCACAATTCACTATCCACCCGGTGCACGTTAGCGTGCTTCCCGCCCTCACGGCACAAACTTGAGACGGACATTACAAATCTGAGACGGAGCTCCCGAAGCACAAACTTCCAAACCTGGGACCCTCTACCGAATCGTCAATCGAATATTTAAAACGCCACAACAACCGTCCGATCACAATCCAACGGATCAGATTCGCCTCTTGTTCCAAATTTAAATACCCCTCAAATTGTCTGAAATCTCCATTTTCAACTCTTCAAATGCTTCTCTGAAACACAGATCTCATCTCTGTTACTCTCTCTCTCTCCTCTCTTTCTCTCTCTAGACGCCACCACAACGATGGCGTCTCTCGCTCTAACCTCCCCCCTCAACCTTGGGTTCCGATCACTCCCCAATTCCCGACTACGTCCTTCTCTCAAACCATCCGCACCGTTGAATCTCCACTCCAGACGCAGATCCAACGGTCAAACTCCAATCCGACTCTGTTCTCACTCATACTCACTAGCCAAAACCACCCATGTCGATGACAATAACTTCCCATTCAACACCAACAATTCTTTAGCTTCAAGCCGAGATGTTTCGGTTCAAGCTGGCTCGGTGGCTCCGCCGGCGAAACCCCAACAACCGCCGTGGCAGGGGGCGGCGATGAAGCCATTGATTGCGTCGATAGGAACCGGGATCATTCTCTGGTTCATTCCGCAACCTGCCGGCGTCTCGCGAAACGCTTGGCAATTGTTGTCCATTTTTCTCGCCACCATCGTCGGCATCATCACTCAGCCGCTGCCGCTCGGCGCGGTGGCGTTGATGGGCTTGGGCGCTTGCGTGCTCACCAAAACCTTAACTTTCGCCGCCGCCTTCTCCGCCTTCGGTGACCCCATTCCGTGGCTCATCGCACTTGCTTTCTTCTTCGCCAGAGGCTTCATCAAGACCGGACTCGGCAACCGAATTGCCTACCAGTTCGTGTCTCTCTTCGGAAGCTCTTCGTTAGGGTTAGGCTACAGTTTGGTGTTCAGTGAAGCATTGTTAGCTCCGGCGATACCGTCGGTGTCGGCGAGAGCTGGGGGGATTTTTCTTCCTCTGGTTAAGTCTCTGTGTGTTGCTTGCGGAAGCAATGTCGGCGATGGAACAGAGCACAAGTTGGGGTCTTGGTTGATGCTGACTTGCTTTCAGACGTCGGTGATTTCGTCGGCGATGTTCTTAACAGCTATGGCGGCGAACCCATTGAGTGCCACATTGACCCTAAATACGATTAAGCAGACAATTGGGTGGACCGATTGGGCGAATGCTGCGATCGTGCCGGGTTTGGTGTCGTTGATTGTGGTGCCATTCCTTTTGTATGTGATTTATCCGCCATCGGTGAAGAGTAGTCCTGATGCACCAAAGCTCGCGAGGGAGAAGTTGGAGAATATGGGACCCATGTCGAAAAATGAGGTTATAATGGCAGGGACTTTGCTCCTCACGGTAATAGCTCTCTCTAAGCTTAAATTTTGCTCTTCTTTACTCTTTACTAATTGCTGTTTCATTTGCTGTCTTTGTTGCTATTAATGTTTTGTTTGATATTGTAATTGCCTTTTGCTTCCTAGTCTATTTTACTATACGTAGAATGCAGAGGGAATGGTGTCTTGAAAGGAAATTGCAAATTTCTTAATTATGTGTGTTATTGATTTTTCTTCTCAACAAATTTGAAATGAGCTTGGTTAAATTTATAATTTTGGAAACTTTTCAATTGTCATATACATAAAACTTTTATTACTTCGAGATGTGAAACTATTTATAGGTCAAGAGCAAAGATAATGTAATGAGTTCTTGAAGTTCCTCACGGATGTCACTTTACCGGTCAATTTTTAAATTTTCAATATCGTGAAATTGTGTGATGGATTGTGCATATATTTTACTACTATCAAATGAGTGATGTTTGATTTAGTTTTTATTTAGTCTTATACTTTTGACGAGGAGCGAAAGTAATTTTGTGACTAAAATTAGTAATACTATGGCAAGTTACTCTTTGAATGTGATATTATATATCTTTAAAACATGTTATTATTTGGATGTGGTTATTGAGATTTGAGCATGAGTTTGGTACCTTTATTTTATTTTATTTTATATTTTTATCTGGTGTTATGAGGGTTAGGCAAATGTAGCTTACTTCACTAAAGTGTTCAAGATGTATATGAAAAGTGAATCTGATAAGGTAGTTCTAAATACGAGAATGGTTTATTTTTTCACTGAGATTAGAGAATGTTATATATGTATGTTTCTCAGTCTGTTCTTTGAAGTTTGAAGCATATGGCTTAACATCTTAGTTGTTATTTATTTATTTTTTAACAATGCCACTTATAGACGCTGATTATGAGTTGGTAAGTTTTCCTTTGGTTATAATTCCGTTTATCTTTCTTTGATTGGCTGGCAACTTCCTGTTTCTCATGTATGTTGACAATGATCACTCATGGTTGCATCAATGCCTCTTGGAAATAAATCTTTACAATTAACCTTTATATAGCTGGTTTTTCAATATTTCTCACATTGTACTTGTCATATGCATGTTCTCGACCTTGCCGATATTGGTATGATACGATTTGTATTGGTGCCCCTATCTCATAGTCTCTTTAAGTCGATAAAAGCCATGTTGTTCAGTCAGCTAGCTACTCTTCCCTCTAACCATCAGTTGCTTTTATAAAAGCTGCTTCCATGGTCAGCCATCTGAGCATAAGGCAACTGTCTTTATGACATCATTGTTTCATGTCTAAACTCAAACTTAAGCACTCTATTCTGTAACTTTGTTATTACCACCTGTGAGTTCGGCGTCATTATAAAACGGTGCAATCAAGGCATAACATTTATTCATACATGTAGGCGCCTTAATGCCTTCTCTTCAGCTGCTTGAATGTTTTTTACCTTCACATTTTTGCCGGTCAATTCACTTACTGGAGATCTGCATTGCTTTCTAAATGTGTCCAGACCTCAAATGAAATAGTAGCCTGTCTTTAAAATTTATTCTTCATTGTCTTCATAAGATCCCTTGACTTCTGGTATTCCAATTTCATGCGTTTTCCTAATTTTGTTATGGTTACTATATATTCATTATTTTCCTAAGTTGCATGGTTTCTCATAGTTAATAACTTTTTAATTCTATATTGTTCATATGTGGATCTTTCCTTGTACTATTTTAGTTCAGGACATTCTTTTAGGTTTGGTAGCATTATTAAATGTGATATATGACGATAGGCTAAGTTGTCAATAATCTGTTTCATAGTCTTCCAGTCACATTGCATTATGTGAAACAGAGCATTTTGAGATGGTCATGAAAACACATTGAGTTATGGCAGTGATGAACTAATATAAATAGAGTACGCATGATAATGTGGAATGGATTAAAAATTCTTATTTTGAGTATCATTATGAATTGGCTTTTGGGGCTTTATTTTGGAGGGGACAAATAAGCCCCCCAAAGCTTGCACGTGCACAACCTTGCATGCTACTGAACTGCTTTCTGAAAGATCCGCTACCTAAACCCTAATGGTCATGGTAATTGATCCTTTTCTCTAGGTTTTTGCTGGCACTCTTGGGCAAATGGGCCACTGCGAATCGATATGGATTCTATTTCAACTGTTGTCTTGATTTGTTGCAGTCTTTTGTGAATAATGCTTAGAAAGTAGCTCCTTGGTTTTTCCGTTGAATTGATATGCACATCACACTTTTCTGCATGAATTAATAATAACACTGTTAACTCCTTTTTTCAGCAAGCTGCACTTGTATAGTTATATGCTGCTGTGAATCTATACATACCGCTTTATAGGAAATAATTTTTTTTTTACCTGTTCTGTTCTCCATTATTTTAGGTCGGGCTCTGGATTTTTGGTGGGATGCTGAATGTGGATGCTGTTACTGCTGCAATTCTTGGATTATCTGTCCTCCTTGTGACTGGTGTTGTAACATGGAAGGAATGCTTAGCTGAATCAGTTGCATGGGATACCCTCACATGGTTTGCTGCACTCATCGCAATGGCTGGGTATCTAAACAAATATGGTCTCATCACCTGGTTTAGCCAAACTGTTGTGAAGGTTTGTCTTTTTTAACTCTTAACTATGGTCTTGTATCTTAACCTGCAATCTTCTCTCCTCTCGATTGTGTCCCCTTTATTGTTATTTTGATTAGACTCTATTATTTGGTGGTGTGGATAGCAACTCTTAATTTTCAGGTGGTTTTGGGATTTTTAAACTCTTAATATCTATAGAATTATTTAACTAACAAGAAGTCTTAGGTTTACCCCATTGCCGTCTCTAGATTCTAATCCTTCATTTGCTTCATTGCTCATTGGGGCCACGGCCACTGTATCACTATCCTTCAATTTTTGACAGTTTGTTATGCAAGCAAGGTTTGTATGAATCGGCATCATATATTAGGAGACCTGGCTTGTAGTAGAAAAAGAATGGAGAAAGAGAATCCCCATTAATATTGGATAAAGGCATAAATAATGATGATGGTGATTTTAGGATGATAATCAGCTAATCTGTTGTACTCTAATCATTTAGATGGTCCAATATCCAATTATTAGTTTTGAACACAAAGAAAGTTTTGGTGGTCAGTAATTGCTCTCTCCCTATAAGTTTAATGTTCAATAAATTTAAAGATGATCATAACCTTCTATTATTTTTCTGTGATTGTAATATGTTCATCTATTATGCCAGGATACTAATTGTTTATGTTAGTATGAACATAGACCTACTTTCTGTGGTGCCCATTAAGTGGTAGTAGCCCAATGTCATCTGCATATGCCTTTTTTATAGCTTCAGCCTTAAGAACCCATATTTCAGATATGACACTTTGATGAATATGCTATTCTTAATTTTATTTTGAATTTTGCCTAATAATTCAGAATTCGATGTAGAATTTTTTGTTAACTAGCAAGTGTATGCCATGAACTATTAATCAAATCCATTTACTTCTCTGCAGTTTGTTGGTGCATTGGGTCTTTCGTGGCAGCTATCGTTTGGTATTCTCGTTCTTCTCTATTTCTATTCACACTACTTCTTTGCAAGTGGAGCCGCTCATATTGGGGCTATGTTCACGGCGTTCTTGTCCGTTGCTAGTGCTCTAGGCACTCCACCATATTTTGCAGCCATGGTGCTTGCTTTCCTTTCCAACCTCATGGGTGGCCTCACCCACTATGGCATCGGCTCAGCTCCAGTTTTCTATGGTGCAAACTACGTTCCACTTGCCCAATGGTGGGGCTATGGATTCCTCATCTCTGTCGTCAATGTTATTATCTGGCTTGGAGTTGGAGGGGCCTGGTGGAAGTTCATTGGCTTGTGGTAAATTTCCCGGCCCAAGTTCAGTAGTCTCTTAGTTTTGTTTGCCCTATGTTCTCTCTCTTTCTGACGCAGGCTGTTAAATTTTAGTCCCGATTCTTTATCTTGGAAATAAATTTTTGGTGGCTTTGGTGGGAGACCCTTTAGGGAAAGATGGTATACACATGAAGTCTGTAGCAAAAGTTAGAACTTGTACCTAAAAATTTTGACTGGTCATGAAAAATTTCCTGCTATTTAAGACTCTGATGAGTTGGATGGTTTAAGCTTACTCTCTCTATTCGGTATCTTTTTGTTGGTGGTGATGGAGAAAAACTTTATTACGCCCGTGCACGGTGTAATGGCGTTCATACACGGCATGTGTAATACACGCGTGGGCAATGGACTCAATAAAGTTTTTCTTGTGATAATGAAGTTCTTTCTTTTAACTATGACTATGAGGGTGCAACGGGCGTAATAAAGTCTTTCGCGTGATAGAAGTTTTTCTCTTAACTACGAGGACTGCTAGATCACACTAATTAAGGGAATTTCTTGTGCACCTTTGATATAGTAACCCCATAGATAAATGGTTAATCGATGTGTATTGTCCAAAGATTTTTGTGTCTAGGATTTTAGAGAACTCTATAATTAACTATTGAGCACAATGAGTTGTTTGGGTAAAATTACATGAGTGGTCCAATGGAGAATTTGAACTCAGAACCTTTACTCGCACCCGGAGTAGGCGGCTTGTATTTGGAATTAAAAAAAATATTAGTTTAATATTTTGAATTAAGTTCCTTCTAATTCTAACTACTGGTATGTATTCCTCGAAATGGATGGTGATAAAATTATTATTATTATTATTATTATTATTTTTATACCAGAAGGAAAATAATGTTTTGTTATGGTGATTGGAAGGACAAAATAGAAAATTAATCTTTATAAAAGTTGGAGAGGAGTATCGTTAATCTAAGCAATTAAAATTTAAATATTTTCTAGAGTATGGTGTATTAAAAGGTGCAATAGGTACAGAGCAATAGCTTAGAGATCATTTTTTTTTGTTTTCTCTGTAATTCATTGGAACAATTTCTAATCGGGTGTTTAAGTTTCAGTGGAGACATAGTTGTATATTTCTTTAATCTTTAAAAATAATATATATATTTATTGATCTCATTTCAATAAAAAAAATGTAATTTGAATTGGAAAAAATTGAGAAATCTACAGAAATTGGACTACTCAGTTTGGGACGACTAGCCTCTTTGGACTTTTAGAGCCCAAAGGCCACGCTAGAAAACTAAAAAGATTCATCATATGTTTTGCACAAAATGGATCATCAATTCAATATTCTAAAGCCCTGTAATTATAAAAAATATTGTTAAAATTTGCTCATTTAAATGTTTTAATTCGTTTATATAAAATTTGGTCAACACAATGCATATAATTAGCTCACTCCTCTAAATATTAGATTGAATGCTTTATTCGAGAAGAGAAATAAAAAAAGAAGGTTAAATTAGGGTTGGAAAATACAAATCAGAAGTTACTTTTTTGTCCAAAGTTAGTGGCAGGATTGTGCGTGCAATAAATTTTGTACTTTAATTTACATGAAACTAATTTTTAATGGGACGAAATCATATAATTTTCACAAGAAAAAAGAAAACAAAAAAAAAACAAACTATTTCAAAAATTCAGTGGCTACTCTAAAATTGGTTTGAACTTTATATAGCACTCGGTAACTATTTTGGGTCTACCCACGCATTGGTTCTTTTAGAAGCTCTTTACGAGAAAATTTCATAATATTTATGCACTTGGGAGACCCCCTTTTTATTTTTTATTTTTTATTTTAATCTCACACATTTTTATTAGTTGTTTCTTGTTTAAAGGTTGGGATGCAACTTGGGCGGATTGAGGGGTCATTTCAGGTTCACTTGAACATTAATTTATCAACCAAAGTTAAACCCAACCCAATCTTAGTCTTAGCTGAAGTTGCTGAATCTGTTAGATTATATTATGTATTGTATTATAGGGTTAGGCACCTACCCTCATTGCCATGTATAGTATTACTTTATATGGGTTTTAATTGATCTCCACACTTGACATCTCTTATATAGATCCCTAACACTTTTGTATTATTTAATTAAATACAATATAATATATTTTTTCTTTCCTTTATTTCTAACATGGTATTGGGATTATTCCAATAATCCATCAAGCACATGTATTCAACCAGTGTAAAAAATACTGATCAATGTAAAAAACACGTTTACGAATTTCCTTTCGCCATTCTGAATATATCAAAGGAAAGTTCACACTCAGACGGCCTTGACGCCACCAAAAACAGTCGGAAATACGTCTGCACGCACCCCCATGCGCCACCACAGGTTTCTGCCACTTCAATGGGTCCAACACGCGCCCCCACGTGCCGAAAAGCTTCACATCCACTCTGTTCCATCCCCATGCACCGACAACAGCTCCCACGCCCTTCCATGCGCCACAGCGTGTCAAATCCACTATGTTTCACGATCCTACGTGACGTCACGCACCAAAGCTTGTTAGATCCACTCTGTTCCACCCCCACGTACTAACAATGGCTCCCACGCCCTTCTATGCGCCAAAGCGCGCTAGATCCACTATGTTCCATGCTCACACGTGAAGTCATGCGTGTCAACTCCCTTTCTTAGCGCTCACACGCGCCACACGCCACACGCCACGCGCGTCAAGATCCAAGATTTAGCTGCTGCCACATCAATGACAGATCAGCACCTGACAACGTCAATGCCATGTCAGTTGATACGTCATTAATTGGGCTCCACTTTCATGCTCAATTTTTTAAGTTCTCGTTGAAAAAATCGAACTCAAAATAGGGATGATCTCAAGTTAGTGATGGGTTAAATTACTTGAACGGATAAAAGTTTTAAAAATTGAATACAGATATATAAAAAAAGATAAAAAAATGTAGACAACTTATTTTGTCAAACCCCATTTTTGGAAATTCATTCTTACTGGTGATGTGGCCCAATAAATACTGCCTTGTGGTCCTTTCAATTATTTTTCACCATTTGGACTTTGTAAAAGTAAAATATTGATCTCACCATTTGATTGTGAAGTTGCTCGCAATTAGTTCTCTAACAAGGGTTTCAATACACTAATTATCGCTCTGATCAACATCATGGGCATAGAAACTCCCGACTCACCCAAAGTTGGAATTTATCACGTCCTAACATTTTCGAGTTGTTTCCACCGTCTGATCATGGAAACGATTTCAAACCGAGCCTCGACAAGGGTTTAGGATACTACAATTTCTATCTCGATCAACATTGAGAAACCATAATCCTCCCTTTAACCCAACCCAACGGTTCACAAAAATCATTTCAAATCATACTTCATTCATTTGTACCATTCAATTTCAAGCGGGCTCACCTGATTCGCCCGATTTTGAAAAAATTGTACAAATTATTGTTTCAGGACTACACCAATTCTCACTTTCTCAAATCACCATATTAAAATGGATAAATTGCACAGACACCCCCTAAGATTTTGGTCAACGCCACTCCGCGGACAGTCAATGACTTTTAATACATTGACACCTCCGAAAGTTTAAAAAATGTGCATTGACACCCCTTTAGACCTCTAAAACCATATGAAATTGCCTTTTAACCATTTAACTTGTCAACAACTCTATTTAAATCATAAAATTACAAATTTAACCTCTAACTAAATTTAATGGACTAAACTAACCTTGTCATCTCTTTTATATATAAAGATATAGTTTATATATAATAATACTTATACCACTATAACCACCACCACAACAAAAAAAGAAAAAAGTAAATTTTAAAATAGCCAGATAACTACTATACACCACCACCAGCACCACTGCACCCAAATACCACAGTACCAAAAAAAAAAAAAAAAAAAAAAAAAAAAAAAATCACCACCACCACTACAATAATAAAATAAAAATAAAAATAAAAATAAATTTTTTGAAACACCTTGATAACCTAAGCACCACCATAATCACCACAACCACACCCAAACAACACCACATGCAACAACCACTACCAGAGTAGAAAAATAAAATTAAAACAGTCATGGCCAGCCCAAACCCACTACAACAGAAAGAAAAAAAAAAAACATGTCCAACCCAGACACCACCACCAGCCACCATCACAATAGAACGGAAAAAAATTAAAAATAACAATGGTTGTTTTTATCTCACCATTCCCACCAATTCTCTTTTCTCCCTCTCACACCCACTTTCCTTCCCAGCTTACTCATCTCAATCACAAATCCACCCCCCCAACCCCCAACCCTAAAATTTTGTGAATTAACCTGCCCTAACTGCCATCTCCTCCACAGCCAGTTACGTTTCCCTCCATTGGCCACCGGTAGCCCTTCCACTGGTGAGAAGAATGACGAGGGGTGCAGTTTACCAAAAAAATAAAAATAAATCACATAATAAAAAAGATGGGAACGAGAGAGAGGGAGTGTTGGTGGCTAGGTACTAAAAAAAAGAAAAGAAAAAGAAGAAGTGTTATTAAGGTAGAGAAAGAAGCTAAATACTGAGGGCAGTTTCATCAATTAATAGAGTTGATATTTTGTAAATTAATTGAATTAAATAATTAGGGGCAAATATGATATTTGAAACCATATGGAATGTCATTGTTAAAAGAGCTGTTGACCCGACATTGACCAAAATTTCATAGAGTGTTAATGCAATATATCCTATTAAAATTGTAAAACCACCAGATTGACACATGGTGAAATTATACTCATTTTATTAAAAACCCCTCAAATAGTCAAATACCTCATTCAATGAGGCCACTTTCACCGTTGGCCACCAAGTTTCAAATTTTCAAACCAACAATGAAAAAGTCATTGTTTGAGATAGAACCATTAGGAAAATAATGCCTTGTTCAAAGTTTCAAACTCACACTCTCTGTTCTGTTCTCAATGCTCATGTCATGGTTCCACGGAAGAGCAAACTTTTGACTCTGAGTGGTTGGTCACAGCAGTAGTGGACTGGATAGGTATAGCAATTGAGCTGTATCCAACTTTTTTTTACTGAAAGCAAAGTTGGCATTTTTACTGGTCTCGACAGAGTTTTGACTGTTGACTGATACTTCATACAAATACTACTTGGTAGGGTTGCGTTTTAGTTGTTCTCTTATAAGCGAGAGTGTAAAACACATTCCTCTTTCAATCATACTACTTTCATTTGATTGCATTTTAGTTGTTTTCAGTTATCACTGAGTGTAAAACATATTCCTCACAACTTCAGTGTCTTTATATTTT